GCCAGAACAAAATGTTGTTGGAAAAACATCACGATTTCCAGGCTTCTGCCACTTACGGCTCACAATCTGAGTGCTTTCTCCAAGGTCATACAAAGAATCATCCAGGTCTCCTGGATCCTACTCTAGTGCTTTTACTTCCTTGCACCAGTAAAAATTAGGCCCTGATCTTGGAGGAAAAATAAACTGTCACTAATCAAAATGATGTCAATGTAGATGGTCAGAAAGAAGAAGAGATGGAGGGTATTTGTTTCTGATCTTACATCTAGCAACCACTGTATTTGTGGTTTGGCTGAGCAGGAAGTTCTGGGAGGAGCACACCCAAATGCTTGCTGGCTCCTACCTGAGTTCCTTACCTTCTGGTAATGCTTCATACTACAACAGGGCAGTTCTTGCCTCTCAGTGGGAACTCTGTGACAGGACTACATTTCACATAAGGATGGGAATGAAAGTTCAAACACTGCCGGGTTGCCATGGAGTGTTGTACCACATGGCATTGTAGCTGCTGAGGGAAGGGGGCAGCTGAGTGCAATCAGAGAATGGAAGGGGTACTGGATGGGAATATGAATTGCATTCAGTATACAACTTTGACTGGGCCTGTGTTTGCTAGGTTGCTTCTGGAAAGAATTTAGGAGTATTTTAGGAGATTCAGGGGAAGACTTACAATGTAATTTTTCTTCCTGCCTTATAGATTGAGCTCTCTTGATGAGAGGAAGTGGGAGGTGCCTTGGGGAGGCACCCTGGGGAGGGAAGGGGTAAGAGATGGCATGAACTTATTACAGCTTATTCCTGAAAGGCACTGCAAACCACTTCTGATTACCCACAGTGTGTTTCCTTTCTGATGAAGAAGTGGTGCTGGCCAGCAGGGAGGGTGGCTGCAAAATTTCAAGACAGGTTCCCTGGGCTGTACTCAGGCAAGATGTGAAGCCGCTGAGTTACTATCAGGATTACTCTATTCTTAGCATCCCAGCATGTGTTCACCCCCCACATACCACTGTTTAAATATAGTCCCTACTGAAGGACAGATGCTGCCAAGTTGCAGCTGACCCTCTCCTCTCTTGCATTCTGTTCCTGAAAGCTAGGCTGAATTCTCCTGAGTCGTGTCCAGTGGTCAGCATGTCTTTTTGTCTCCACAGGGCTGTACAAGGAAACTTGTGCTGCACTGTTAAAGCCTAATCCTAGCCCTGGCCTTTCTGGCCTCTCCTAGCACTGGCTTTCCCTTCAACACCTTTTCTTCTAACTTGTTGCCTTCACCCTTTTCTTTTTCCCCCGTCAGTTGCTTCTGTCCTTTACCTCCTGTCTGATTCAATATGACCAGTGAGAGGAAGAGGGCAAAGAAATGAAAAAACTAGGCACATGGATGTGTATGTACTCTGGTGCCACAGACACACAAACCTCTCCTACACGAGCAATTTTGCCACAACAGAAGTCCTGCTGAGAAGGCAGCAAGATGGACAATCTTCTGCATAAATGCATTTCATTACTTTATATTTCCAGTCACATAAATCAGTAATGCATTGAAATTGGGATTCTCTAAACAGAGCTGAAATCTAAACAGGACATTCCTTTTGTGTGAGCGAGGTGTGCCAAGGGGAAGTGTGTCCACTGGGGCTCAGAGTGGAAAGCATAATAAGCAGTTAATTACAAGAGGCTCAGAGAATGTGTGGGGTTGCCCCTGTGAAAAGGAGAGATCGATCTTTGCAGTATATGCTAGAAGGCTGGACAATACAATCCCCCAGGGCCAGGTCTGGGTCTAGTTTTGACCACTTTCTGGAGTCCCTCAGTGCTGCCTTTCACTTACACAAGAGCACTCTCTAGGCATCTGCTACAGGAAGCAGAGAGGATTTGTCTTTGAAATGCTGCTTTTCCCATCCTTTCCTAGCTGCTGGGGGACACCTTCCAACCTGCGTGCTGCCTAAGCAGAAGCTCCCTTTTAGTGATGCTTCATGTGCCTCACTGGATGCCCAGGAGAGGGCATCTTTTGGACATGGGGAGCAAGTGGCAGAGCCTGAGGGCAGGCTGACCTTCAGGGTGGGCAGCTGCCCTGGCCTGGGGCCTCAAAGGCTCAGTGCTGCCCTCCCTGTGAGCGAGAAGTGCAGGCTATGGGTTGTTATTAAAGGTCTCCACAGCTCCGTGCCGGCAGTCATGTAAAAACCAGCAGGCTTGTGCTGGTCCCTGTCCATAGGCTCTCTAGCCTCCAGCACACTGCACTCTGCTGCCGTGGTTCTGGATTAAATCCTGTCTTTCCTGTATGACTGCCTTCTTCCTTCTCTTCCTTCACAGTCCTCCTCTGCCTTTAACCCCTTTGCTTTCCTCCCTGGCAAACGCAGTGGGGTAGGGGTTCATAATTAAAATGAAGCTGTGGATAGTATGTCCCCTCTGCTCTGGGAAGCAGATTCATAAACTTCCAGGGATGGGTTTATAAAACTGTGAGAGACTGCCACCCAGGAACATTTACAAGCTATTTTCAGACTCCTTAGGTCTCTTCCTGTGCTGATAGAGACCTGGTCCTGTTTTCCCAAAAAGGAATGGAGACAGGGAGAAGTCCCCTCCTGGGTTATAGAGCTAGCTTGCAGGCTTCTGCAACAGCACTGAAGTAACAGCAGTTGCTTTAGTGCATGGACCTTCTGCCACCATGGTAAAATCTGAGCACAGACCAAGCCAGAGCCAGCATCTTTACTAACCACAAAAGAAATGCACTGCTCACCTTGCATCCCACCAGCCTAGTGTGATCTAAAGGTGCCTGAAGCAGCTGCAGGCAGTATTGTGAGCACAGCCTTACCCCTCCCTGCTTGGGAATTCCAGACATTTGCCAGCAAAGCCGTGCAGTGTTATAGGACCCCAGGACTGCAGGAAGCTTACCAGCTTTACTCTTGGTGGTCACAAAGCTACATCCAGTCGGTTTCAGTAAGCATGGAGGACAATGGGGTGTGAAGAATGCTCTGAGCACCTGCTGACAGCCTTTAATCCCCAGTCCCCTCACTCCATAACTGGGAGAGATAGCCAGCAGGTGTGTTCCCATCCAGGGCTAAGCACCAAGCACTTGGCCATGGAGCAGCAGTTGGCTTTTTGGGGGATACCAGAAGGAGACACTGCTTCTGATCTCTCTTTCATTTTCCTGACTCTGCATTAGCTGCTCTGTTGGTAGGCAGCACTGGAAAATGTGTCTGCTATCTCTTCTCAGTTAACAACTGCACCTTGAGGGAGTATCAGGAAGCAGCATTTATACTGTAACAGAAAAAAAAATGGTTCTTCAGCAGTTCATTACAGACCCACACATTCTCATTCCAGGCCTGTATTAACAAGGAGGGAGATAAAAGACTAAAATGACAGAGGTTGATGGATCTGGCAGCTGGGATGAGCCAGCCCCTATTTTAAGCATGCTGGCAAAATTTCAGGTCAAGCTGGAGAGGCTACAGAGTGATAAAGTGCCAGTGAACACAAACAGCTTGGAGCACAGCCCTCCTCTTTCCATCTCCTTCTCCAACACCTCTCAGTCCTCCGACAGGCTACATGGGAGGAGTGCTGCTCTTGCCTGCTCAACACAAGCCAGCAGGGCTGAGCCCTGGCCATGTCCGTACGCCATGCATGCAGCAGGCTTGGACCCGGGCCCTGAGACCAGCCGGCCATGCCATGGGACCTCCACAGGGCTCTGGCTCTATCCCTGCTCTCCTCCTGCCCCTGCAAGAACAATGACAGGGCAGCAATACTCTCACATCCACTTCTCCATCCTGGGACTGCCATGGGAGTGCAGGCAAGGTAGCTTATGTGATTTTATAGCTGGGTCTGGTTGCTGGAGTACAGGGCTACAAGATACGGGCTAAGGTACCCTGCTGTACATTAGCTCTCTGCAGGAGTCTGACACTGTTCACTGCACCATCTGTTAAACAGCTCTACACTGATTTGTCTCTTACTGAACTGTAAGATCTGAAGAAATATTCTAGAAGCATCTACAAATCCAGCATATTGCTGCCTTCAGCTTGATTTGCCCTGACCCAGTGTTTTTTCCTGGCTGTTCTTTTATGTGCAGAATGAACATATAAGACATAAAAGGACAGTTTGGCATTGTGGGTGCCAAGCTGTCCTACAAGGCTATCCCATTGCTTGCCTATATGAGAGAAGTCTGTAGTTTTGGACTGAGGGGGCATATGGTTTGCTTGCTTGCTTGTCCTAGCAGAAAGGCTAGGCTTGGTTGGGGCTTTCAGTAAGAAGTTTAACTGATGGATGATGGAACAAAAGGGAGAGGAAACACTTGGTGAAAGATGGCCATGAGAGGCCAGATCTAGAAATTAGCCTGGAACTAGAGATGCAGACTCCAGTGTCAGATATAGCAATGCATATTCTGCACAGCTCCTGTTAAGGCTAAAGATTTACTCCAAGTTTACACTGTGTAACAGGACACCATATAGCCTGATGCAGATGTCCAGAAATACACTGGCCAAATCCTTTAGAGCAGGAATGCTTCACAGCAGGAAGTGCTTTGTTGTCACCATCTCTTCCCAATGTCAGCTTTCCTGAGGATGGTTACCTGCAGGGGCTCTGCATGAGTATCAAGGATCATACCAAGGATGCACAGTAAGGGTATACAGAAGGATACACAGCCATATACAGGGATGGTCTGGAAGGAGTTCCTGTTCCGTCTCTGAAGCACAGACTCCCTAAGCAACTTAGGAGGTAGGGAACGAGAGGAGAAGATCATGTAGATGTTCTTGTCATTCACTGCAGTCTTTCATCTGCACTGAAGGTCATTAATTTGGTTGGTGATAGGTCAGGCCTATCCTGAGCAGACTGACTCTTGGAAATAACAGGAATACAGAGACTAAAAGGCACTGACAGGGTTTACCTGTGAGGACTGGTCCTTCACCCTGGCAGCACGGTAGTCTTAGGACTTATTTTATTCTGACAGGGACAGAGCAATAGAAGGGCCAACAGGAGACAAATAACTGAACTAAATAGCTACAGTACTTCCCTTCATCCCTGTCTTCTCTCTTCTGCTTTTCCAGATCCGAAAGAGAAGCAAAGCATGCCGTGGAGGCCTGTGGGAAAATGATGTGCTAGTATCTATCAATGGGAAGTCATGTGCTGGCCTCTCCCATGCTACTGCCATGCAGATCATCGATTCCTCCAATGGCATGCTCAACATCCGCGTGAAAAGGTAACCTGCTCCCCAGGCACCAGTTCTGTGACAGTGCAGGTAGCAGGGCAGCTTCACCCAGTACAGCAGCTATCCACACCTAGCAGAAAGAAGGCAGGCAGGAAGCCTTTGGTCTCTTCGTACTGCAGGGTGTACTAGGAGGACTTCCCCATGGCTAACATGTGGCTGTCCAGAAGTTTTATATGGTCTCAGTGGTGCTCACCAGAGTGCCTGGCCGTAGGGCTGAAATGACTCCAGACCTTGCTGACTGCCAGGCTGGAAGCAAATGTTTGCAGTGTGAGGGCTATGCTGCAAAGAATGAGCAATTTAGGCTCCAGGCAAGCAGATGCCACAGGGCAGATCATCTCAGCAATTAACAGAGACTCCAGTTCATTCTGGGTAACTAACTGTTCTGTAGAAGTGGATTTGACTACACATTGGATAATTGAGCCAAGACAAGATTGCCCAAGTATTTACTACAGCAAGCCACTGTAGTCCAATAGAGTGTGAACTGACTTCCACAAAGATAAGCGTGTAGCTGAGTCCCATTTACAGAATGTGTTCCAAACAAAGAAAAAATATCTCTAGCAGTCTCTAGTCCAGCAAAATACTGAAGAATAGGCTCAGATTTAGGCACAAAGATGGTCCCAGTAGTGTCCCTGATTCTACCTGTGCTAAAATAATCCAGTGCTTCAGTGCATGCTGGATGAGGCTCAAGTTGTAAATGAATCATATAAAGATGAAGACAGCAAAGCGTGTGAGGTCCCAACTAGTCCACACTACTGCTGAAGCAGAAATCACCCTCAGGAAATAAGGCCCTGGTGAAAGGGGCTGGGAAATGTGATTTTCTACAGCCCTGAAAAAATACATCACTGTGAGCCATATTGGTTGCTAGCATCTGTAAAGCGAGGCCAGAGATGGGCAGTGCTCAAAGAAGGAAAGCCTGAGCATGTAGGACCTTCCCCTTGGCTTTAGGGAAAGCGCGAGTGCCCTCTGATGTGCTCACTCTGTACCCTGGCTGTGATTAAATGCAATGAGGGAGCCTTGTACAAGGTGTCCAGGTCCTGGTCCCTTGCCAAGGCCTTATCTCATCCCATTGAAGCCTGTCTGCATCCAACAGGTGCCTAGGCAAATTCTAATGGGCCAAAATCAGCACACTTTGAATTAGCAAAGTGACATAGGCAGGCTCCTCTCAGCCCTCTGGGAGTCAATATCAGATGGTTTGAAAATAACGTAATCAGTTGGCTTCATTGTGGGGTAGTGGAGAACCCATCAAATACTGCTCTATTCCCACTCCATATATGTGTGCCCAAACAAAACACCAAACAGTCCCATTCAGAAAGCAGAGGCAGTTGGATACTCTGGAGTGTGCAAGGTTGTATGTGTATTTCTGTCAGTGCTGGATATGTTTGAAGAACAAGAGAGAAAGAGGAGGGAGAGAGATTGTCTCTTGACAGTGCAAAACAAGAGAAACTGGCTTACAAGCAGTCATCCAGTGGAGTATTTAAAGAAGAGGAAGGACTGCTCTGTTTTGCTTGGGGATCTTTGAGTTTACTCCTCAGTGAGAGTTCATAATAGCAAATTTTATTAAATAAATAAACTGTCAGAAATTATCCCACCCTTAGTTTTCACAAAGGTTTGGATTTGACATGAGTATTAATTTTTCAGTTTAGTATTGGGATCCAAGTCATAAATCCCACAGCTTTACAGAGGCAATGCTCTCTGCTTGGCTTCCTGGTATGCATGCTCAGAAGGCAAATACTGTGGGCTTCTTTGTAGCTCTAACAAGCCCTGGTGACTCTGGTGAGGGAAGAAGTTCCCTGCTCCATTTGTGTGGTCTGGAGTCAAACTGCCATTGGAACCCAGACTCACTCTTGAGGAAAGGGAGGACAGAGCTAGCTCTTTTCCCATTAGCATAGGCAGTTCTCCCTCCCTCTGTCAGTCAGCAATGACTGCCACTACTCTAGCCATCTTTCCAGCTGACTTACAGGCTAGAAGCTGATATGTGTAAGCCAGAGGCAAACGCCACCATGGACTGCGCTGGCTGGCATGACTGCAGTACAGTCGTCAAAACCCAGACACTGGTAGCTAGCTCGCAAAACAGTCTCACAGAATTTACCTTGGTCTTTTCCTCATGCCCCGCCTGCCTACCACAGGATAGCAGAGTCCTACCCCCCAGAAAGCACATGGGCCTTTTCTCCTAAGTATTTGCTATTTACTTCCACATAGAGGTCAGGGCAAACAGCACCAACTTCTTTGGAATCCATTCTGAACTAAAGCCAGGGGTGCTGGGATCCTCAGAGCTGACACAGCTCCATGGTGCAGTCCCAGCTGCAGGAGCAGCTGAAGTGTAGTGTGATGGCTGAGGCACCATCCACCATGGTAAGTGGCAGGCTGTAGGGCTATGTCCCACTGTCCTGGGGACTGTTTGCTATGCAGGAATTCACCTCCCCAGGAGAAATGCCTGGGGAGCTAGTTAAGCTAGCTCAGTAGATCTTTATGCTCTCATTCTGATTTTCAAGTGTTTAACACCTGGTTTTCAAAGAGTCATGAAGCAGAAAATCAGGACGAGAGCATGTAGCTGATGTCAGAGATGTGTCTGCCCTTGGTGTCTGCACTTGAGGCGTTGGTACCACCTGAAAGACATCTGAAACACTGGCTCAATCCTTACTTCTCTCTTACATGTGAGGATTTCTATCCAGCTTAGCCTCACTAACCAGACATCACTCACTGCTTTTCCTTCTCCCCACAGGATAGTTGGTGGGGACCAAACCGGCCCACGGCTCCTGCGCTCCCCTTCTCCAGGGCAGCGAGTTCTCTCCCCACCATCCCCACTCAGCTCCCCAGCACACATACTCAGCCCTGAACCAGCAGGAGCCCCAGCCACCGTGCAGCCCTCGCAACCACGGAGGTCACAGAGGCACCCAGAGAGCTTCACCTCCCCGCCAGACAGTGAGGCTTACTATGGGGAGACAGACAGCGATGCAGACAACGTAGCCCAGGAGAAGCACCGCCGGGCTCGCAAGAAGAGCCCACGCTCCCCACCCGACAGCACCACCAGCAAGCTGGATGCACCTCAGGATGAGGTGTCCCTGTCCGAACAGAGTGGCTATGAGAGCATGCCAGAGCCTGCTCCTCTGCGGGGAGCTGAGGTGGCCAGCTCCAGCGGGGTGGCCAAGAGGGAGATTACCTGCTCGCCTGGCAGCCGTACAGACACTCCATTTTCAGAAAGTGAGGGACAGTTGCAGCCACCATCAACAGAAGGACGGGAGCCTTCTCCAGAGGCAATGCTCCTGCCCCATGCCACCAAGGCTATCCAAGCGGAACGCCATCTCATCCCCATGGTGGGGCCAGTGGAACACCCAGTTGATGAAGACCTAACCACCACATACATGGAGAAAGCCAAGCAGGCCAGTAAGTTCTCTGCACCCTGCCACTCACCCATGCCCTCTTCTTACACTGGATCTCCTTCCAGAAACCTCATTGCTGCAAATATCAAGTGGGTTAGCTTCTCTAGCTTGGGAAGAAGCAGACCCAAGTCAAACCTCCAGGGTCTGGGGCCTCCTATTACAGCTTTGACCCTGGTTTTTACCTCAACCAAGGTGTCCCAAGGAACAAGTGAGAGAAGGGGTCTGAGATCTGGGCATCACTTGTAAAAGCTGCAGCCACACAGGGATGTGCTCTAGCACCATCCCTGGAAGTATTCAAAAAACATGTAGACAAAGCCCATAATAGAATAATAGAATCATAGAATAGTTAGGGTTGGCAAGGACCTTAAGATCATCTAGTTCCAGCTCCCCTGCCATGGAACACCTCACACTAAACCATGCCACCCAAGGCTTCGTCCAACCTGGCCTTGAGCCCTGACAGGCATGGAGCATTCACAGCTTCCCTGGGCAACCCATTCCAGTGCCTCACCACCCTAACAGGAAAAAATTTCTTTCTTATATCCAGCCTAAACTTCCCCTGTTTAAGTTTTAACCTGTTACCCCTTATCCTGTCACTACAATCCCTAATGAATAGTCCCTCCCCAGCATCCCTATAGCCCCACTTCAGATACTGAGAGGCTGCTGTGAGGTCTCCATGCAGCCTTCTCTTCTCCAGGCTGAACAGCCCCAACTTTCTCAGCCTGTCTTCATACAGGAGGTGCTCCAGCTCCGTGATCATCCTTGTGGCCCTCCTCTGGACTTGTTCCAACAGTTCCATGTCCTTTTTATGTTGAGGACACCAGAACTGCACACAATACTCCAAGTGAGGTCTCACGAGAGCAGAGTAGAGGGGCAGGATCACCTCCTTCGACTTGCTGGTCACATTCCTTTTGATGCAGCCCAGGATACGGTTGGCTTTCTGGGCTGCAAGCTCACACTGCTGGTTCATGTTCAGTTTCTCATCAACCAACACCCCCAGGTCCTTCTCCTCAGGGCTGCTCTGAATCTCTTCTCTGCCCAACCTGTAGCTGTGCCTGAGATTGCTCTGACCCAGGTGTAGGACCTTGCACTTGGCATGGTTAAACTTCATAAGGTTGGCATCAGCCCACCTCACACGCCTGTCAAGGTCCCTCTGGATGGCATTCCTTCCCTCCAGCGTATCAACCGAACCACACAGCTTGGTGTCATCAGCAAACTAATGACATGGTTTAGTGGTGAACTTGAGAGTCCTGGGGTAACAGTTGGACTTGATGATCTTAAAGGTCTTTTCCAACCTATATAGTCCTATGATTCTATGATTCTAGTCAAGACCTTTCCAGGTGGAATAAAGTACCAAAAAATGTAGTGTACTACATGGGTGATGCACCTGAAGTGACCTTATATCTTTTCTGGTTTCTGCTATACATGGAGTATTTCAAACCCAAACATGAAGGCAGAGCAAGATGCTACCTGATTTCATAGTTGTGATCTATGCAATGATATTAAAACCAGGGTAATCAAAGCTTGTTTTCATATGAGTACTTCAGTGTGCAGTATGATTGACTAATTTACACTTCTCTGTGCCTAGAAATAAAGCAGGTTTTAAAACAGTGACTTAGTTAGGGGACAGAGTGGGGAATGGTGACACAGAAAAGTTACTAGACTGAATCAGAAATACAGCACACAAATTCTAACTTCTGATTCTCTGCTTCAGATGTTAGGTATTTTTGTCCAGGCCAGATAATATTGCAAGGCAATTGTTAAACCTTTCTTTTCTTTTCTCCTTGGGCTAAACATTCCTTTATCTATTCTGCCTAAGGGATCCTACAAAGGTAATCCAGACAGCTTCCTAGACAGTGCCTGTCAGGCAGGGCACTGTCTTACTGCTCTGCCCTTATGGTGACAGACTCGATTTGGTCCCTTATGTCTGGCCCCACTAGGCAGTACACTATCTTGGAGCCTTGTACTATTTCTTCCTAGTCTTTAGTGTTCACTTTCCTTAGAACAGCAAAGAAAGTAGCAATTTAAGCCTCTCCAAGGGTGAAGCTATTTTTTCCCCCTTAGAATAATGTACAAGCACGAGGTGAATGTTGAGAAAGGCATGTTCAGCTGCTCCCTGCCACCCGATAGTCCTAGCAGTGGATAAGTAATTGCTTCACATCAAGACTTATTTCCGTAGGCAGCGTCAGTACAGAAGGCTCCCAGGAAAGCCATGTATTTAATGCAGAGCATTTCTGATGGCAAAATAATATCCCATGGCAGAAGGTGATGCAACCCTAATGCCAGCTGGATGTAGGGTTCCCAGAAGCACTACAGACTGAGGTAATATTTTATTCTCCTATTACTCCTCCACTGCTTACCCCCCTTCTGGTTTGTTTGGCCATGAGTGTCCTTATGTAGGGGTTATTCTGTTGTGGATGGCAACTCACATGGCCAGCTTGGCCTTTTCTTGGGTTAAGAATCTTAGCAGTAAATATGAAGGCAAAACTCTACATGCTGATCATGCTGGAGCACAGCAGCCATTAAAACAAAAGTCATGATCAACAGCCAGTAACTCTGTGGAGGAAGGAAGTAGCATGAAGGGTGCTCACTGTGTGGTGACCAGAGTTAAGGATCACCTACACCTGGAATAACCACAAGAGGATGTGGGACTGCTGAGCTGCACTGGCTCATGGGGAGGCTGCAGGCAAAGACACTGTCAGCATGGGAGGCACATGGTACAGCATCTCTGTCTGGAAGGATGTAGCCTTGGCAAGGATGTTTGGGCTTGAATTGGTTTAGCTCCTATAGCTGCTCCAGGCTCTCACAGAGCCAGCAGAATCTAAAGCTCTCTTTCTCTGCCTTTCCTTAGCAATACTCACAGCACAGTAGCCTACTTTGGGATACAGAGACTCATGGGTTTTGCTAAACAGGAGAGCAAGGTCACGCTCAAGTTTTTAAAATCTGAGTTAACTATGGTAGATGACTTGGATGATCAGTCATGGGAGCCTGCCACTCAGTATATATGCAGCAGACATTTAAGGACCATTCTGACTACCTAATCAGATGCCTGCTTTTTGGAGCACTACCTATCTATATATATTCCCAGTGCACCTGCTCAGCACACCCTCCTTGCCTGGCCACAGCCTTTTGCATTATGACTTCCACCATGGCATCGTAAGAATGTGAAAAGCTCCTTTTTGGTTTGGTGGGACTGTTACCCAGATGGTTCCTAACCTTTTGTTTCTGGAACGTATTCCTTTCTCATGGCAGCTCTGATCTCTTCTCCAGTTTTGGGGGTGTTTCTCTTGTCCTTTGTATTCATTCTTCCTACCTTTTCACTATCATTTAAGCTACAGAGGCTTTAGTCCCTTTCCCACTTGTCCCTTCACCTCAGACAAACAGAACTGCACATACAGGATTCTAGATGAGGATCTAGAAACATCAGATTTCTAAAGGAATAATTGAAATCCCTGTACAAGAACAGAGACACGTAACAGTTGTTTTGCAGACCACTGAGAGTAGCAACTGACATTCTTATTCTTTACAGCTCTATTGCCCTGCAAGGATCTCAGTAAGACTGCCATTTTTTGTCAGCTCTTGGGTTTTCTTAAACTTAAGATCTGTAGCTCTGCTTTTTATTTCCTATGTCTAGAGCTTTTGCAGGCCTTTGTCCTCACTGCATGCTTTCCAGAGCTCTCAGCCTTCCAGATCATAGGCAAGTTGATTCAGCCCCTTCGTTTTTTATGTGATTAGGAAATACGGCAGAGTGTATACTCTCCTTAGAGAGGCAACAGCCCTTGCAGTGAGGCTTGGGCCTCTCTCTGTCCAAATTCCCTGCCCTATTTGCACACTGGCTCATTTTTTCCACCCTGTGGGATAAGCGCATACATCTTCCCAGCCCACCACAGGACACATGATGTGGACATGCCTGCTCGAAAACCACTCAGAGCATTGCTGCTGCAGACTAGTGGGGCAGTGTGGGAAGCCACACATCACCCAAATGTGGGGAACTTGCCCTACAAGTAATGGGACTTCAGTCCTTATTGCTGCCCAGTGACTACTGTGTACCCTGGTGTTTTGCTTAGTGGGGCAAGAGAACAGCCATCAAAGAGGGACTCTTCACTGTACTTTAAATGAACTACAGCAGAGCATACAAACTTGTGAATAGCCAATATTTTGCCTAATCTGAAGAAATGAAAGTACAAATTTGTTTCCTTCCCACTAAACCAGTAACTTGCTGTCTTTAAATAGGTGATTAATCTATGCAAAAACTGGGGATCTTTGGGGCCTCAATTCATCATCACTGTAAGGGCCAACCCGCATCCCTTCCTGAGATGATTTCTGTGCTGCTTAGACAGTGCAGAAGGAAAGGAAGAGATAACAAGATAGATAGAAAATGCAAACAAAAGGTTAGCAAAAAGCAGGAGCTTGTGGCAAGCAGAATCAGACTATACACTGTCACAAGTAATTGCTAGTGAGGTTCTCTGGTTCTCTGTAACTCCTGCAGTGTCTTCCTCTGCTCCCCCCACCTTCAGAGGCTTAGGGTCCATCTGTATCCAGGGTTGCTTCTCATCAGCCATCTGTGCTCTCTAAGGTGCACTATATTTTCACCCCCATCCTAAATCATCTCCCAGGATCAATGGGCTCAGCCTTTTTCACAACTGGAAATACCAATTGCTAGCACAAGGCAGACATACCAGGGTAGAAGTCTACTCCTAACTTGCTAATCATACTGTAGGAATTTGTGTCACTGCAAGAAGTGCTTCAAAATATCTCAATTTAAACTTATCCACTGGAGTATTTTTAGTTCCTACCACTCAAGAGCCTCTCCATGTATGGTAGGGGAAGGGAGGGTAAAATGGGTGGGGAAATTTCCTCCTCTGCTTTATATGGACCTGGTTGCCTGTGAAGAGTCATCAAAGTTACCACATTCCATATCAGAAAAGGAAATCCTTCTTGTTTAAAGCGGATGTGCAGCAGCATCACTTGACGAGATAGGATGCTTATAAATAAGTGGCCTATTCA